CGCCGAAGAGCGCGTCGATCTCCTCGAGCGGAACCTGCTTGGTCTCCGGAATGAAGAACCAGACGAAGAGCGCGAGCAGGAAGTTGATGCCCGCGAACATGTAGAACGCGTAGAACCCGCAGTTGTTGAGGAAGGTGGGGAAGAACTGCTGCACGATGGCGTTGGCGACGTTCTGCGTCTGCGAGGCCATGCCCACGGCCTGCGCGCGGACGTTCATGGAGAAGACCTCGGACGTCCAGATCCAGACGGTGGCGCCCCAGGATGGTTTGTCTGTGGCCCGTTAGTAGCTGGCTCCCAAAGGGCTTGTGCGCAACCCAAAGACAAGGGGGTATACTTACAGAAGAAGATGAACAGGAACAGCAAGAACACGATCGATATACCCACCGACTCCGTCTTCGCACCCCCAGGCGACGGGGTCTCGGTCTCGACCGCAGAGACGATGATCATGCAGATCCCCATGCCGATACCACCGACAATCAGAAGGAACTTGCGTCCGAAGCGGTCGATGACCCAGACGGCGTTCAGAGTGAACAGGATACCGAAGGTGGCGTTGAGGGCGTTGATGAGGGCGATCTTGCTGGCGCTCGTGAAGACCTTCTCGTAGATCTTGGTGGAGTAGGTGTTCAGGGTTCCTTGTCCGGTGATCTGCTGACCAGCGTTGATGACCAGCGCCAATCCCATACGCTTGCGGAGGGACTTGTCCTTCCAGAGCGCGCTGTAGTTGCTGGAGATCGCCTCCTTCTCGTATTCGAGGGCTTCCCGGATCTTGAGCAGCTCCTCCTCGACCTCTTCGTCGGTCTCGCGGACTCTGCGGAGAGCCGAGCGCGCCTTCTCAATATCGTCTTTACGCTGGACATACCTATGAGAGGGTCAGCAAGACTTATTCCTATAGAGGGAAAAGAAGTGTTAGACATACCAGCGAGGCGAGCCGGGGATGGTAGGCAGAATAGCCAGAATAATGACGGGAACGAGAAGCTGGAAGATGACGACCAGCTTCCAGTCCCACTCTCCCAGGTTCTTTGAATGCTTCGTGCAGCCATAGTTGATCCAGAAGCAGATGAAAGAGCCAACGGAGTAGAACATCTGCCAGAAGGTCATGATCTTTCCGCGGATCTCGGGCGGTGCAAGTTCACCGATGTAGATAGGGCCGGCAGCTGGAAAACAACACGGTTAGCTGCAGTCCTGGATTGATAGGACGTCTCGCATGTAACTCACTCAATGCAATACCCTGGCCAATACCGATAATGCAGCGTCCCGCAAGGAAGCAAGCAATACTGCCCCGCGGCGACCAGCACTGCATGAAGGTGGCAGCAATGACCAAGACACAGCCAATGGCCATTCCGATCTTACGGCCAAGAAAATCGGCAATGGGACCACCGAGGAAGAAACCTCCGAAGATCGCACCCACAGTGTAGGCTGTATTGACGGCTCCGATCATATTGTTGTCCGGGTTATGGAAGTAGGCTGTCCAGTTGTCCGAGCCCTGGACGGAATTGTAGACAGAGGCATCATAACCATAAAGCACCATGCATGCTGCTGCAACTAAGGAAATGAACCTGGAGAATGATCTATTAGAGAGAGTTCAAATAGCCTGCTTGAGGAGCAAGACTCACCAGTTGTAGGCTCGCTTTGACATGAATTTCTCAATCATCTTGACGACGGGGTATCTGAAACGGTCTAATGGAGGGAGGGTAAAACAAGAACGAATAGGTGAATATCACCAGGTGGTCGTCTTGAAGGGCCACCTCTTAAAGCCAACCGGGGCTACAAAGGACTGATGGGGAGAAGCGCAAGACACAGACAGAAGAGAGGAGGAAAGAAAAGATGCAGCAGGAGATGCGGGCTGTGGGTATAAATATGCGAAGCGGCCGACCTCGAACCAGGATGACCATAAGCAGATAAGCTACCATGCCGCGTGCCAGCAGCCAGGTGGCAAGCGCTATATCAAGCCATCCTACGCCCTAGCATCATCCCATGCAGCATTTAGAGTGGACGCTAAACCGAACGTAACCCTGGTGGGAGGCGAAAGGTGGGAGAAAGGCGGGGGGCCAGAGCTCCCCCAGACCCCGGACCTGTGCATGCACGAACCGACCTTGACAGGTTTTTCCCGACACTTGTCTCCAGGATTTGAGTCAGGGGGAGGGTGGAGTGGAGTGGGGATTCCGGGGTGAGTTGCAAACCAGCGATGGAGATGGATGGAGCAATTCCCCAGACGGGACCCATTGTCGGGGCTGTCGTATCGTGGAGAAATCCGGGGTCGAGATTCGAGGAAATTCTCAACGACACACGGCCCAAGTCACCCCATTTCCCACGAATCAGCCGCGGTAAGAACGCCAAATGGGGGCTAATCCGGATCCACCAATGGAAATGGCAAAATAGATTAATTCAAGACTTGTCGCACTTTCACATGGAGGGGGGAAATGGATAGAGAAAGGATCAGGTGAGAAGGAGAGGAGGCGATTGGCGGCGAAGAAGAGAAGAAGATGGACGAAAGGTGAGAAAGAGGCAAGACAGATTCATCCATCACCGGTCACGAGACCCCTCTCTTCTCTCCGTCTCCTCCATCCTCAATCCCATCCCTCAACCAATTTACCCCCGAATGAGATCTTCCCATCTGCCAACCCTACATTCAGGTTCGTATCAATGCCACGAGGTTGACACAGATGGCTATCCCCAAGGTTCCTGAGATACGGGCTGGTCCTATGTCGCTCGACGAGATCCGGATCTACAGGGCTACCTAAGTATACTGGGGCAAATTGGGGCGACACAAACGGCCACACGAACGATACCATTCCTAATGCATACAGTCGAGACCGGTCTGTCCTTATACCCGCATATTAACCGAGGCCTTGTCTCTGGCCATTCTCGCTAGTCCTATTGCAGCCACCAACTCCCATAGCTCGAGACCACCATGACTCTTCTCCGACGAGATTCAAATCCCAGGTATGAATGTGTCAACATCCCCGTTCCTCGAGAATACCGGGCTAGCGCCGATCCTAAAAAAGAAATGCGTTGCTGTGCGTGATGCCCTCCATTTCCTCGTTCACCGCACACCGTTGTCCTTTGGGAGCCTGCCAGATGCCGACGTTCCTCCTCACACTCGCGTTTGCAGCTGGTGGAAGCACAGGGATCCTCTCTCTGTCGTCAAATTATTCTTGCACGCCTGAGACGAACCGAAGTCAAAGATATCCTGAACTTTCCTGCGGGTGTTTCGCTGAGAGGGAGTGAACCGTCTATACCGCTGCTGGGTGGCTGAATCAGACACACTAACTTGGGCACCCACCATATCAGATGCTTGACTGGGTCTTTCCCAAGCTCGCGAGGCCTCGGGCATGAGAGTTGTCATTTCATCGGCTGGAATGGAGCAACCTGTCTTGATGGCTATGCTTGGTGCACGTTGATCGCGATGGTTCCTGCCTCGAAGCAGCAAGTATCGCACGCGAAGCCGTCGGTAAATTTCCCGCAGAATGTAAAGGAGGGTTGCCACCATGACTGACGCCCCGAAGACTGCGCATATCTTATAGAACACATCGAGTTCATTTGCCTTCTGTGGGCGGCGTCTGTCCACCCGAACAACATTTGTGTTGGAGTGGCATATTACGCACTGCCTTGGCTGAAAGCCCAGGAAGGTTTTCGCTATATGGGTATCCCTCCAGCTATGCCCGCCACATATGTTCTCACAATCCGAGTCAAGGCTGTGAGAGCTCTGACACACGGATGAACGTCTGTGTTCTGTGCGAGTCATGACAGAATTTAAGTGCTCGATGGCCCTTTTGGAAGTCTTCGTTCCTTTCTCCTTTCCAAGCAAGTATTCCAGGATCCCATGATATCCCAGGGAGTGTGGATCGCTTGCAAGTGTCTTGATAGGTTGATCCTCCGGAGGAATTTCATGCACTTGTCTTGGTTTGAGGCCCTGGCTTGCAATTTGGTCTGAATGCTCTCCAACTGGAAAAGCAGCCAGTGGACGGTCGAGTAGTGTCCCCTGCTGCAGAAGGTTGCCGGGCCCCTCGAGTATCAGCTCTTCAAAGATACTCTGGCAATTGTGCAAGTCCAGAGATCCTCTCTCTATGTTTGTTATCGTCAGTGTGAGCTTCAGACCTGGCTCAACCACGTTCTTGACCGGGATCGTATCCTTTGCATCTCTGTCAAGCATTGAGTCCGCTTTTCGTTGTACAGGATGTCCCAAGGTGATTGTGCAGCCTGGTCCATCCGGTTGGTGAGATTCAGACACTGCGACATAATCCGATATGCTGGCGCATGGGTTACTGCATCCGATCCAGGGCTTATCGGTCCCGTTCACTTGATGCGGGATCAGCGGGAGATGCTCTTGGGTGCTATTTGATATCACACTTAGAAGTGCGTGAAGAAACGCAACGAATCGCTGTTGACAATACATGAAGGAGGCAAGAAATTGGCGGCTGTGATAGGATTCTATGGCGTCAATTATGTTGTCTAAGATGCAGCAAGTAAGTTTTGCAAGTCATGGGAAGGTAAGAACTGAAGGAGGATCTGCGAAACCTAGCACGGCATGCATCAGTGATGAGACTGCTACGCAAGTTTGAGAAGTTACAGGCGGAGCTGATGCTGCTGAGGAAGCCACGACCGTTGCTAGAAGGCATTCCTGCCAATATTGCCATCTGCCCATGGTCGGGGACGCTGATCGAAGCTTGAGAGGCTTGAGCAAGTGGGAAAACAGTCGAGTCAGTGTTTTTTGGCTCTCTCATGGCAGCGCTGTCACTCAAGTATTGTCAACTGTCATACAGCAGTTGTTCACAGGGTACGGTGCTTGATAGAATGTTCTTTGACTCTCCTATAAACAACAGCCAACTTCCCAAGAAGCACTCCGTAGTCTCTCACATTAGGCAATATTGCAACCCCATCACGTGCTTTCGTGCCACGCCCCGACGCGGTCCCGCCGCGGTTGGTTGCAGACCCGATTCCTCCCCTCCGGCCCTCCTCCCACATTATCTATCGACTTGCAGTACACCCCCACCCCCACCTCACCATTCCTGCCCCCCCCCCCAAACTACATTGCATCTATCCCCTATGCCCCGCACATATGGCAAGAAGAAGCAGACGCGACTCTCCTTCGCCCCAATAGGCTCCTCTCCCGTCCAGCAGAATGAGCCCGCCTCGGACGGAGAGAGGGATCGCCGGGCGACCCTCCGCTATTCGCATCCTTCCAAACCCACCATTCTCTCCAGTCGCCCCAGGCAAGACACCGCTTCGCCTTCACCGTTTGTCAAGAAAGTCGAAAAAATGGCCAAAGACAAGAAGCCCGTGTCGTCGTCGAAGGCCGTGAAGAAACAATCCGCACGCAAATCTGCGCGCCAGAAGGACAAAGATCGCGCTGTGTCGCCTGCTGCTCCCGTTGTGAAGGTTGAGACATCCTCCGACGATGGGAGTGAGTCGCATTCGGCGGAGGAGCAGAAGGGTGCTGTAAGATCTACTCGCAAGAAGGGCAGCAGTCGCGCGAAGAAGGCGCCGGCTTCGGTTGTGAAGGTCGAAGCGACGTCTGACAATGAGGGGGAAGAGGCGGGGTTGGTGGAGGAGCAGAAACCCGCTCGCAGGTCATTGCGGAAGAAGAGTTCAAGGCATACGACTTCTGAGTCAGTTCGAAGGGAGAAGTCAGCTGAAGGCGAGGCCAACGAGTCGGATACGGTGGAGTCAAAGCAGGGTGCCCGAAAGATTTCTCTGACGGGCCGCGAAGGTATGCTCTACGGACGAATAAGTTGAACGACTTGACATCTGCTAACCTCGATTGGAATTTAAACAGAGGACTCAAACAAAACGCCCGACCGTGCTGTTACACCAGAGCAGGATAGTGAAAGTGACATTGACATGACTCGCAGCGCGCGCAAACGATCTGCCCCGACGTCGCTGAAGCGAAAGAGATCAGAAGAGGCTTCCAATAGTGAGCCGTCTCTACAAGTCGTATCAGACGACAGCGACGGCGATGAAGTTGTCAGCAGACCTCGCCGAAAGCTTAGGCGGGGCACTATTTCTCAGCCTGTCGAGGACGAGGACGATGATGATTTGCCGACTGCGCCTCGAACGCCGCGTCGCGCCAGAGACCAGGATGACTTGGACATTGAAGAGGACCTCGAAGCTCTGCAAGACTCAGGTACCTTTTTCTCTTTCTCTCCCTGATCTGACAGTTTACTAATGACATCTGCTACAGTGGTGAAGGAAACTAGGACCAGAGGCCGTCTAGCAAACTCCGCCAGAGCCCAAAGACAGCAACATTTGGAAGCTCTGCGCCGTCGGCGAGCAGGAAAGTCTGAATCGGACGAGGAGGATTCCCAGCTCGAGGCAGGAGAGAGCGGAGATGAAGGCGAAGGCGAGGGCGAGGAGAACGAAAGCGCTGCGGAAAGTGAGCAGGCCGCTGCCGCCATCAAGCCCCGATCGCTTAGTAGAAACGACGATAGCGACGTCGAATCATCTATTGCAGGCAATGATGATTTAGACCGCTACGAGGATGACTTCGTCCTGCAAGATGAGGACGATCTACTGGGTGCGCCCGGCGGTCTCGACGAAATGCCATTCGAGTTCACCCGTCACGCCTACAAGCAACTCAAAGATTACTTCCAGGACGCGGTGGAATGGATGGTGCACAACAAGCTGAACCCAGCCTTTCCGCGCTCGAGTCCAGTCTACGAACTAGCCTTCAGCAAACTCGAGGACGAAGTCAAAGGCCGCACGGGATCACAGCTGGTGTCGTCGGTGTGGACGGCCGAGTTCCGCCGCGCACTTCTGGCACGACCACACATGGAAGTGACATCCTATCCGACCTTTGATAACCATCCGTGCGATGCATGCAAGCGCTCTGGCCACCCGGCGTCCTTTGACATTAAGCTCTACGGCAAAGCCTACGCTTTGGACACCCTGGAACCGCTCGAGGATGAGAACAGTGATGATGATGACGACGACGAGGAGGAGCAGTCTGACAACGAACAAAGGGACAGCCGCGAAAGAGACCGAGACGGGCACGTCTTGCCGGACGAGAATACGCGCTTCTACCTCGGACGGTATGTTACTTGCCAGGATCATCAGCGAACACACCCACTAACAAACAACCCACCCAGACACTGCAAGACCAAAGCGAACCTGGCTCACACTCTAACCCACTGGCGCTTCCGTCTCAACGAGTGGGTGACCGACCACTTGCGCCTCAAGGGCTACCTGTCCGATGCGCGCATCCTCGAACGCAGCCACTGGAGCCACCGCAAACAAACCAAGTATGCCATCAAGGCAGTGGAGACGATGGTCCAGGAGGGCGAGGTCAAGAAACTCTGGCGCGATTTCCACATCGATCTGCGAACCGCCCGCGAATCCAGTGTATGTCCAACTAAAACAACCCTTGAATACTAACTACCACTAAGTCTGGAGACTCTTGCTAACGGTGACTTCACAGTCCCTCGGATAGGATCGCGAGTGCTTTGTTCCAGGATGGGGTTCGAGAAACCTTCCCACTCATCGCTCGATATAACCAGCCAGTCAGCCTCCTTCAGTTCTAGGCCGAGGGCACTTTCTCATGCTGCTTCACTTGTCTTCGACACTTTTCCCATGAGACAATTCTTACGAGACTGAGGCAGGTTAACCAGAGAGGCGTTTTACCTCCACTTGCCTCGACACGTTTATCTGTGCATACTAGGGGTCTCCCTTTTTTTTTTTTTTTTTTTTTTTTTTTCCTCTATCCATACTAGGGATCTCCGCTGCCTATAATCGGCCCTTCCTTCCGTCATTTTTCCATGATACCCTTTCTGCTTGCTTGTTTTGTCCTTCAATCATCACAATCTTATTGTTTCTCCATATTCCCGATCATGTTTACGCACATGGCATAGTCCTACATCTAAAAAGAGGATAGGATGTTTCTATACCTCAATATAACCCCCCAAAGTTCCCAAATCTTGAAATCATTCACATTTCATGAAAATCTAGAAACATGAGTTCCCCAAAACATAACTAAAAAATTGATAGGAGTAGACACATCAAAGAAACAGAGACAAAAAAAGCCGATTATACAAGTACAACACACATCGCCCAAGGAAACGGGAGGGTGGAAGAGGGATGAACAAAGTTGAAAGGCAAGGCCAAAGATGGTTTCCGAAAGCGAACAAGATGTGAGGGGAAAGTGGAAAAGGAAGAACACCGTGATTCTTCATTTCCCTCTGCCGGGGACACACACACCCCAGGGCCATTCTGTACAGTGTATATAACTTTTTTTTGCATCGTCTGTCCCAGCAAATCCTGGAGTTCCATCCGGGTGGGTCTTGTTTATACACAGAAGGGGAAGAGAAGGGAATGGAGTTGAACGACGATACGGATAGCGGATCTCATCGCGGAAGAAAAGATCCGTTGTTGTTCTTTTCGATCCACACTTCCTCAATCACTCATTGTTGCGATCTTTTTCTCTTTGGGGCGACGGAGAATTGTTTCCTTTTCATTTTTGGGGGGGGAGCCATTTACAGAGTAGGCTGGGCCTGCTGCTCGGCGGGGGCAGCGCCAGGGGTGAGCATCTATCGGAAGCGGGGAAGGTTAGCATCTTTTTCTTGGGGTTTTTCTCATATCGGTCGATGCAATGGCAGTCTCGGGTTGTATGGTGTACACCAAGGACTTCGTGGCGAGCGATTCCCGGGGTTTCGGGCGAGAACAGGGAAAAAGAGGAAGAGGGCTTTTTGCTCTTCTTTGCTCAAATCCTTCCAAACCCGAATTTCCCAGGAGTCGAAAAAAGCAGTAACAAAACAAGTGGCCAGAGAGAAAAAAAAACAATATAACCATACCTCATTAGCACCCTTGATCATGCCCTGCTCGCGCTCCATCTGGATGTACTGCTCCTCCTCGGCGTAGGCCAGAGCCCATGGCACACCCAGCAGGAACGCGCTGGTGCTGATGATCCACAGCGCCTTGCCGCTGAACGTCACGCTGGACTTTGTGAAGGAGGTGACCGTGTTGACGGTGGAGGTGAGGGAGCGGCGAGCAGAGGGAGGAAGCATGTCCTTCAGGGCATAGATGCGGTCGTACAGGGTCTCGCTCTCGAGCTCTTCGTAGGACTCGGTGGAGATCTCGGATTCTATAGTGCAGCGGAAAGATGATGTCAGTTCGTGGTTCTATATTTGTGCAGACAGCATTTGCGATGCTGGCTGGCTTGTTATGTGCTTCTTCTATGGGATTGTTTTTGAGGTTGAGATGGATTGGAGGATGTAGAGCTGGGGGTAGGGTGCATGGCTGCGAAATTGGATGGTCGCGTAAGGATGGATGTATGGATGGGTTATAGGCGGATGGTGATTGATTGAAAATGATCGCAGGAGAGGTGGGTTTTCGATTGCGATAGTCGCCACTTGGGATAAGATTCGATGGACTTATAAAAAGTGGACGTACCGGTGTCAGTGTAGTCATCGTCCTCCTCTTCGTCATCCGAGGCAAGAAGGACGTTGTGCTTGCTGGGTTGAGGCTTCTCCTGGGCGAAGTGCTCGTCCTCGACTTCGGTGAGCTTGACCATTGTGACGTTTGAGGAGTATAAATGGTGTGAGTTTGATTGCAATAGAAGGTGGGGGCGCGAGGGTCGTGAAGATGAAGATGGTGGTGAGTTCAGTAGGAAGTTGGATGGAGGAGCAGAACGGAGATTGAAGGCGGCCGCCGGCTTCGAACTTCCGTTCCAACTTTTTTCCCGGGCGGAAACAAACTCAAAGCGGTAAGGAGCTGGCCGCCGCCCATCCATTCTTATTCATCAATGCGCTGCAATTCCACGTCAATTGTCATCCAATCATTTATTCTGTGAGCCTTTAATGGCCAGTGCAACTATAAGAAGAATACAGGCAGTGATGCGTCTATGGTACACTTTGATTGAGGTTCATGGCTATATCTAATTACATAGAGTGAAGAATTTGTGGAAAGCCTGTTCTATCCCAACCTGCTTCCAGGAAATAATCCTTTCCTGGACGCTATACTTTGCTTGAGGTTCGCTGAACTAGGAACCTCATTGATCATTCGTTCTCCAAGCTACCGTCTTCCCAACTGCCATCTGGCTATCCGCTCCTGGATCTCTCCCCAAGGGAACGGGCGCAGCTTGTACCCTTCAAGCTCGCCTTCCTGCAGGACGACGGTGGGCTTTCCACTGCCCTTGCCAGGGTTCTGGACCTGACCACCGAAGACCTTTCTAGCCACCCGACGCAGGTCCTGCACCGTCAAGCCCTCAATGTGCCGGCACATCTCCTTGACGCTCACCTTCCGGCCGTGGACCTGGACCTGGCGTCCGAGATCCTCCAACTCTACCATACGCGACTCCAGGTTCATGAGAAGCGAGGAGCGGAGCTGGTTCTTTGCACGCTCAACCTCCTGGGGCTGAAGCGCGGAATAGCCGTTGTCAAGGGTCAGGGCCTGCAACTCACGGCACATGACCTCCAACATCTCGGTCGTGCGCGTGGGGCTGCAGGACGCGGAGATTCCGAAAATACCGCTGTCCGTGTAGCTGTGGTTGAACGCCACGCAGCTCTCCACCCACCCGTGCTGGTTCAACACGTTGGTGTAGAGACGGGAGTACATGCCCTTGCCGGGACCACCGGCCGAGAAGGAGCCGCCGCCTCCGAGGAGGGTCTGGAGAGTAGCGAGGGCGTAGATGTCAGGGTTTGAGATTGGGAGGGCCTCGAAGGCAAGGTGGATGTAGCTCAGACGCGGCAACATCGGGTTGGCTGGCGGAGGGATGGGGGGTAGAGAGAGGAAGCCGCCCGTGTAGTGAGAAGGCCGAGTCAAGTCTAGAGTCGTTGACTGCACTAGCGACGGATCAAGCGGCGATGCGGCATCGTTCTGCGAGCCGGACAGGCTGAGGTTTTTCAAGAAGGGGAGTTTCGAGAGAATTCCCGACTTGGAGGTCGGGGGTGTGGTAGAAACAGTCGAAGATGGCGTGAATTGAGGGACTGTGGGCACCTGTCCCTCCTCCAGAGTCGATTCGGAATGAGACAAAGTAGTCTCGACACCGGTTCCCGAAAGAACCGGCTTGTTCGACTTCATGTCACCAAAGTACTGCTCCGCGAGCTTAACCGCCTTGTCATGCTCCACGCCGGCAAAGGCAACCACCATGCGCTCAGGGTTGAAGAAAGTCTGCCGGTACTTGTCCACGACCGATTTGTTGATCTCTCCCAGTCTCTCCGCCGGGCAGAGTAGTGGGTTTCCCAGAGTGTTGTTCGAGTAGGCCGCCGTGTGCACCAGCTCCGGCAGGATGAGGTCGGGCTTGGACCAAATCTCGCCGATCTCATATTCCGCGGTGGCCAGCTGCTGAATCACCTCTTCCTCGGTGATGAGAGGATCACGGATGGTCTCCGCCAGTAATCCGAGCGTCGAGGGAACTGCAGAGTTGAAGCTAGCCGACTGGTACATCAGCGACTCTCGGGAAGACGCGCATTGAATGTTGCCGCCGAGATTCTCCAGAGTTTCCAGCATCTCATCGGCGGAGTGTGCCTTGGTGGACTTGAAAGCCAGTCTGTCCATGATGTGGCTCACACCGCGCAGGCTCTCATCTTCATAGCGGGATCCAGCGTCGACATAGACACCAACTCCAGCGAAAGGGCCTGGCAGGGATTCGGTAGCGACGCGGATTCCGTTCGGCAGGGTAGTGATCTGATCTAATTCTGCGGGGTCCTGTAGAGAGTGTGAGATTCCGAGTCAGCCTGCTAATGGCGCATTTTGCCGCAAATCCAACCAACCTGCGCGCTCAACGTACCTTAGACCCGTCTGCAGCGGTGGAAAAGCTTCTCGACGCAGCTGAGCGAGGCACGCGAGCAATCGGCTTCGCGGACTCGACAGCCCGCAATACAGAGCGACGCATCTTCGAGTATGTGTGTTGCAAAGTCCCAATGAGTATGTCTAGATTACTTTTGCGTGTTTGCCTGAGTTTTGTGAAGCCTGCTGTTCCGGAAAATGGTTTCGTCACGGCCAGGCGTCGCAAGGATTTGGGCTCCGAGCCGGGGTTGCTTATCTAAGCGTGGAAGCACTCGGGGGATTTCTTGGGCAAGATTGAGCAATGCAGCATCAATATATAAGGGAATAGCAAGGTTGCTGACGCTAGTATTTCCTTTCCAGAGGTATGTAATTTCGAGAAGAGTTTGCGTCCTCAGCAACGAAGTAGTGCCATTTGTGTGGCAAAAAAAGGACCGTAGGTGGTCGGTCATGTGTTTAATAATGATTCAGGATCTAGATTGAGCCGAGTTATGTTACTGGTATCGATTGCTTCATGATTTCTAAACACGCATGGAAAAATGCTTCAGCTTGACAAGAAAATCTAATCATTAAATGTTCTCCTACAGTATACTTTGCTGAGACATAACTCATACCACCCATTAGCAATTCTCAACACGGCAACTTAGTTCGCTGTCGCCCAGGTGCGGTACCAGTCCAGGCAAGAGGCATTGGCAACACTCGCACCGATCTTGATGTTCAACCCGCATAGGATCTGTTTAACCGCATTCTCGACCTTCTTACCGTTGGACGTCACGGGAATCTCAGGGCATACAGCCACGATTCCCGGTACGTGGCGAGGACTGAGCTCTTTACGGATTGTCGCCTGAATGCGAGCCGCAAGATCCGCCGATATGACCTCGTAAGCCGCCCCAGGCGGCAGCAATTTGACAAAAAGAACGACTGTCTCGTCTGTGTCAACCCCATCACGTCTTCTTCCGATGCAGAGAGAGTCCTCCACCTCTTCTGCGAAGTGTTTGAGCAGAATGTTGTAAATCTCTGCACTTCCGAAACGGACTCCAGCCGGTTTCAGGACGCCGTCACTGCGACCCAGCATGGCTACTCCTCCAGTTTGGGGATTCACACGCACGAAATCGCCGTGGTGCCAAATTGATGGACCAAACACGTCGAAGTAGCTCTTGCGATATTTCTCCGCCCCTATGGGACCTGGAGGCCAGAACATCACCGGTTGTGCGGGGAAAGGTCTGGTGCAGACGAGGTCGCCAGGTTCGCCAGAGGTGCTGATGTCGTTGCCGGCATAATCGTAGACTGAAACGGCCATGCCCAAGCAGCGGCACTGGATTTCACCCTTGTAAACGGGAAGAATGGGGCAGCTGCCACAGAAGAGCGACAGGATATCGGTTCCTCCGGTAATTGAGCCCAGCATAATGTCTGCCTTGATAGATGTATAGACATACTCAAACGTAGACGGAGCTAAAGGTGAACCCGTGCTGTAGATGGCTTTCAATGTCTGCAGGTTCACCGGCCGATGAGGGTGCTGTGTTGGATTTAGAGATGCCTGCTCCAAAATGGACAGATACTTGGCCGATGTACCAAAGTGACTAATCTGTAGTTCATCTATCAAACGCGGCATGGCCATCTCCCCATTGCCACCTTCAGAATCGAACGGTCGAAATGGCGAGCCATCGTAGAGGACAATGGTGGCGCCGCTGGCCAAGCCAGAAACAAGCCAGTGCCACATCATCCAGGTCGTGGTTGTGAAGTAGAACACTCGGTCTCCGGGGCGTATATCGCAGTGAAGAACATGCTCTTTCTTATGTTGGAGAAGCGTTCCCAGAGCACCGTGTACAATTGGCTTCGGTGCTCCCGTTGTGCCGGAGGAATATAGTATGTAGACTGGATGATCCGGCTCCAGACTCGCGAAGTCCAGAGGGGCTGCAGCATCTTTAACCTGCGCAAGAAAAGAATCGTAAGGAACAGCCTTGCCTTGCAGCGGCTTTACTTCTTCCAGCTGGAATTCATAAGAGTCGACGGTGCGGAACACGACCAGGAGTTCGAGCTTGGGCAAACCAGGAACAATCTCCCGCAGCTTCGCATCTGCGCCATGAATTTTCCCATTATACAGCGATGCATTGTCGGCAAACAAGAACTTCGGTTCAATCTGCTTTAGGCGCTCCAACACGGCGTGTACACCGGTATCTGGAGAGACACCTGTCCAGAAGGCACCAATTGACGTTGTTGCGAGCATCGCAACGACAGTGTTTGTATGGTTTCCCAGAAACCCAGCAACGCGGTCCCCCACCTGCAAGCCTGCCTCTTTCAACGCGTTGGCACATTTTCTGACCCGATCTCGCAGCTCCTTCCAGGACACGTATTCACGATCCGATTCCGTGGCAGCAATGACAGCCACCGCATCCTCGTCAGGAGACGAGGCTGGGTAAAGAAGATTTTCAGCAAAGTTCAGCTTGCTTCCGTCGAAGAATTTGGGTCGTGGAAAGAGAAGCTGCTCTGAACTCAAGGCCTGGGGTCTGGTTAGCACCGCCTCAAAACCCTGCTTCGTGAAGTGACACAAGCGTCATCATCACTATCAGTGATATACTCACGCGGCTGTAAGGCTGGTGAGCCACAATGGCAGTGTATTTCCAGACCTGCTCCCAGAACTTTGCTGGCTCTGCTATGCTCCACTCCCAGAGATCGTTGTATGAATCCAGCGACAGGAGATGCTCCTTGTTGACAGTCTTGATGAAGTCATGGATCTGAGTGGTATGTGGAGAGGAGTGTCGCCATAACTCCTTCGATTCTTCTCCGTTGGTAGCCATGGGCACTACCAGTCGTGTGTTCTGCTTCCGACAGATAGAAGGTGACAGTTTGTGTCTAGGAAGAAGGTCCAAATCTAGGGAAATCTGACTGTCAAGGAACCGAGGGTCCGAAGCGGTTGCCGTTCCAGTGAATACGTGGTTGCTGCCTGTCACCCAAACTCAATTACTCCCTAATCAGTAGGTATTGGCACAAGTGAGGGCAGACGAGTCGAATTCTTAAGGTGATTTTGCAGTATCTCAATTTCTAGGTCTGGCTACTATACTTATAGATCGACTGGAGCATTTTATGGGGCATTCCGGGGCGGAACGGGGGCGGAACAGAGCGGATAACAGCGGGGAACAGAGTCAAGAACAAAGCCATCAAGGACAATAAATACGGGGACTACTGAACAATCACCATGCAAGTAGATAGTGAAATGACTCTGTGTGGGCGAAGGTGCGAATGCAAGCTGAATCTAGGGAGATGCGCAGGTAGTCAGAGCATACGGTAGTGTAGAGTCATGCATGTTGGCCTGAGGCAGCAACAGTTCTGCATTAAGTCTGTTGTCTGTTGACCAGTTGAGCCTCGAGTAAAGTTTTGTATCCAACCACCCATGTACAGTACAGCAAAAGCTGCATACTAAAAGCTGGAAATAAGTGGCGGTGAAATTCCTCCATGCATCGGAGGATGTACATTGTACATATAGAGTAGGTTAAGTTACCAGTTTACAAGTTGATGTACAACAGAAGTGCAGTGTGGCAGTTCATGCACCTTGCGTTTCCCCTTTCTTATTTCCTTACTGAGCTCCGTACTGTACTGTAGGTTGTTCTGACTCCGTCCACCTGAGCGGGAAAGAATACTCAAAGATTGATGATTACCAGGGCAGAACCAATTGACTAATTGCTCAACCACCGAAACGGCCGGAACGAGGGTCCAACTTACCGCTCCATTACCGCTCCGTGACATCCGCTTACTAGGTACTTACTTCATCCAGGGAAAAGCAAAAAAAAAAAAAAAGAAAAAAGAAAAGAAAAAGAAAAAGCGATAAAAAATAAAAAAAGAAGCTGTAGAAAAAAAGAGTAAAGTGGAAAAGGACCCATCGGGGCGTGCTGAGGATGGGAACGCTTAATTTGTTTATCCTCATTAGTTCTTCATTAATAATACCCAATGGGCTGATATGACCGTGGGTTGGTTCTGCACTCTGCACAAATCAGTCATTCAATCAAGCACTGCAGTTCTCGACCTTTTCAGGAACGAGTCCCTCCCGAATTGTTCGACTCTCACTCACTCACTCGCTCACTAACTACCCGTTCGTTCCCACCACCACCTTCTCCTCTCCTCATCTCCTCCTCATCCTCCACCACCACCACCACTACCGCAACATCCCGTCTTCTCTTCTCTCCTCCTCACCATCATCCGCACTTCGCTTTCTTTCCCGGTGGCTTAGTGTTCGTGCGGGTTTTCCTGTCCTGGCCTCAAGGATTTTAAAATCACCTTGTTCGTTGCAGGGCTCCGTGCCTCCTGCTACTGTTGCTCCACGTGCAAAAGGTACAGTACCTGACCGATCATCTCTGATTCTCCGCCCTTTCCCCCTCTCCTGAATGGTCATCTTTTTGACCTTTCGCAATTATTTCTCCTTTCTTTACACTTTGTTCTCCTTTTACAAAAGCCCTTTTGTTCCCCATGTAATTTGCGCTGTGCGCTCCCCGAATGTCTTGCCACTTTGCGACACTCAATTGTCTAAGTCACTGACCATGTTCTCAACGGCCATTTAGGTGGACAATCTACGAACGCCGTTTGCTGTTCATACCAATTGGAGACAACAAGCGGCTAGGTAACATCAGCCAGCGAGCGGATCTTTCATTTACTCGAAGAATCGTGAGTGCTGCCGACCAGGTGGTTCTTGCCGTCTCCAGCCGACTGCGCTCTTCCTCCTATCGAACCCGCACGATTCTCCGTGTTTCTGTCCGGCTGCTTCCTTGCGATGCCTCGTCGAGCTGCCGGTCCTTCTCTCACCAACGATCCTTATAACGCTCCCTTCTCTTCCTCCGTTTCTGTCAAGGGCGGCATTGCCATCAAGGCGCCCTCCGTGAAACCTAGTCGCCTAAGCCAACTATTCTCTACCTCTCCGAAGCCAAGGGCTGAACCTCAGACTGTGCAGGGTACTGTTCAGTCGCTTAGTGGAAGCTCCCATCCTAGTACGGTCGCACCGCCGATCAGCTCTGCTTCTCTGTCGCTTCCTACAATATCTCTTTCAACGGCAACCGCGGGTAACCCCAACATGGATGAGCCCCCGACCACGTTATTCCAGCCCCCTTCGCCTGAAGAGGCTCGTCGGCTGGCCAAGCAACATGCTCAATTCGGCCCAATCGGTCACCACAGTCACCGCTATTCCAGCCGACATCCTGGCGGGCCTTTTCCGGAGCCTATAATGGACGAGCCGCCCTATTATTATCTCCTCACGACTTATATCAGTTACCTTATCCTCATTGCTTTCGGACATGTGCGCGATTTCTTTGGAAAGCGGTTCCGCGAAGAGAACTACCGTCACCTGAAGCCCCGGAATGGCTATGGTGCGCTCAACAGCGATTTTGACAACTTCTACGTGCGCCGCCTCAAGCTACGCATCAACGATTGTTTCGAAAGGCCGGTGACTGGCGTGCCTGGCCGATACATCACGCTAATTGATCGGGCCACGGATGACCACAACCGACATTTTTATTTGACCGGCACGACAACCGATACACTGAACCTGAGTTCATACAACTACCTTGGATTCGCTCAGTCTGAAGGCCCATGTGCTGATATCGCCGAGGCGACGCTCCGGAAATATGGAATCACCTCACCAAGCACCCGTGCTGAAACCGGCACGCAAGATCTGCATGTCGAGGTTGAAGACTTGGTCGCTAAATTTGTCGGTAAAGAAGCCTCCATGGTCTTCTCTATGGGATTCGGAACCAATGCGAATATTTTCCCGGCTCTCGTCAACAAAGGCTGCTTGATCATCTCAGATGAGCTGAACCACGCATCCATCCGATTCGGTGCCCGTCTTTCCGGTGCCTCCATTGCTATGTTCAGACACAATGACATGCGCGACCTCGAGGCGAAGTTACGTGAGGCCATTAGTCAAGGACAACCACGGACTCACCGCCCATGGAAGAAGATTCTAGTTGTGGTGGAGGGACTCTACTCTATGGAGGGATCAATGTGCAACCTTCCTGGCTTGATCGAGTTAAAGAGACGCTACAAGTACAACCTGTTTATTGATGAAGCGCACTCGATCGGGGCGGTTGGACCCCGAGGCCGTGGTGTTTGTGATTATTTCGGGATTGATACCAACGAGGTAGATGTTCTTATGGGCACGCTCACCAAGTCTTTCGGTGCCAACGGCGGTTACATTGCGGCGGATAAGACCATGATTGATAAATTGCGAGCCACGAATTCCGGCGTTTTCTATGGAGAAGCACCTGCTCCAGCAGTCTTGGCTCAAATTATGTCGGCACTGCGACTAATTCAGGGCGAGCTTGTCCCCGGTCAGGGTGAAGAGCGACTACAGCGCTTGGCCTTTAACTCCCGGTATCTGCGCCTGGGATTGAAGCGTCTTGGCTTTATAGTGTATGGTCACGACGACTCGCCGATTATTCCTGTTCTCCTCTTTAATCCTGCCAAGATGCCTGCCTTCTCTCACGAGATGCTGAAGCGGAAGATCTCCGTTGTTGTTGTGGGTTATCCTGCCACCCCCTTGGTCTCGTCTCGTGCCCGTTTCTGTGTGTCGGCCGCCCACACTAAGGAAGACCTCGATCGTATCTTGACCGCCTGTGACGAGATCGGCAACGTGTTGCAACTCAAGTTCTCCACGGGAATCGCAGGTGGTGCTCTACCGGCGAATGAGGAACTGACGCCCCCTCCCGAGATGGAGAAGGCTTGGCACCGCAAGCGGACTCCTAAGGTTGTGCCTCCCAGATGGCCGATTGAGGATGTTATCAGACGGGGTGTACAAGATGTCAAATCGCCTTTGTTTTAGATAAATCCTCTTCTTGCCGGGGAGGAGCTACCGTGTCTGCTTTGGAGCTTTGCTGGCCTGCCCGGAAGTCAAATCTGTCAGTCAATGTGAAAATGGTTGCTGTTGCATATATTGTTTCAGAGTCTTCAGGTACATTTTCCAAGCCGGTTGCTCTCTCGCAGCCGGTTTTTCAATGCCGTGTATCGCTGGTCGATCGGAGGCAGTCTCTTCTTTCACCACGAGCTGTGTGTGTATCATTAGCCAAACCTAACAAATGTCGCACTTCATGTCCTTATCTGCCCCCTTTCTTCTTATGCACAGAAAACCAAGAGAAATCATGGGACGACATTCACGCTCATGAACCGACTCCATTTATACACTGTCTATTTATTTTCCCCCTTCTTCTTTCACCCATTGCCTCCTCAGTTTGATTTCTACCTCCTGCACGGACATTGCATTGGCTGTGTACATGATTTCGACGTTTTCCCCCCCCCACCCGCCTTGCCTTTTTCCGCAGCAATTGAACTTGTACTGTACCTATGCTGAAACCAAATCTAATGAGATCGATGAGAGCGAAAGGTAAATGCGGGGTTCTGGAAACGCAGGGAACACAGGCTGAAGGTCGCTTGAATGCTTTTTTGTTTTCTTGTCTTTCCATCAGAGACAAAGGGAGAAATGGGATCGGAACTTCTAATAGTGGTTGAATTTCTAATTGAATGACTGATTTAATCGTTCTTATGATTATATACATACCTGTAATTGCGTTCTCCTTTTTTTGGGAGGGGGGGGGGGTGTGAAGAGGGGAAATCGTGGTGGTTTTGCTTGAGCACAGTACGTTGAATGCAGTAGATTAGGTATGGCTCTATCTACGTTCAGAGTCTTTGGTAGATGGGCGAGAGAAATCAGCATGAGAAAGTGTCTGATATTGAGAGATCTGCTTGGCCAAGGTTCTTCTTGGTTGCAAACTTATGTATGATGTATGGTTGTATGGGTGATGTGCAGAAGCAGGCTAAGATCGATCAGGAAGAAAATAGACGGCGAATCTATCGTCTCGACCACATGAAAAAAAAAGCAAAAAGAACTGGAACCTGGAGGGGGAAACAGGTTGAGCGACCTCTATGCAGACAAGGATCAAGCCAGTCAGGCTAACCAGTGGAATCAATGCAATGCGCCCCCGTGTTGTATGTGATAAGCCCCGTTCGCTTTCCAAGAGAGACACAGATAAAACCCAGAAAGAAAACCAATAACGCCGGTAGGATGAGTATAAGTACGCTGATAGGGTCGCGCAGAGTGATAATACCCCCAACGATGATGAAGTTAAGAACAAATCCCGAAAAATGATATCATAATATCCTGAAACCCGAGCAAGCTGATGATATGGGTATGTGGTGTAATGTGAGATGTTGGGTGATGGTAGGCATAAAGTCGTGTGATGATCATGTCCAGCTGATAGGCAGAAAAACAGGTCCCGAGACCGAGGCTTTGCCGGGAGACCGTGGATGGCTGCGTAGTACGCACAACCCTGCAGGTTTGGTTTGAGTGACGTGAGATTCAAACAGCCCCGTACCTCTCACGGTCATGTTGACGGAGCAGGGCCTGATTCTCGGGATTGCGAGGCGTGGCGGCGGCAGAGGATGACACCGAGGGGATCCAGCCCCTCATCCAGCCGCGGACACGAGTCCAGTGGCTACGACCCTCCTTGGGGTCCTCGACCTCCATGATGGATTCGTCGTCACGGGAGCCGTAGACCAGGAACTGCACGCCCATGGTGCCATCGAAGGCCAGAACGCCGAACGCGCCCAAAAAGAAGGGGATGGCCCGGCTCACCCACTCCGCTCGGTTGTTGCCGTCCGCATCTGCCCATCCGCCACCGCCGAAGGCAGGGAAGTCGTACCAGGCGTTGGGATTGGTAAGCAGGGAGGCCGAGTAGAAGAAGTTGCCAGAGAAGGCAGCCATGAAGAGGAGCGGCGAGAGGCCAGAGGTGCTCTTCCGGCAGTAGTTCTTGTAGAGCTGGGGCGGCCGCGAGCCCAGATAGAGGACCGTGGACATCCAGGAGATGATGCGGCCAAGCACTTCGAGAGCATGCGGGGAGAGGCCAGATGCTGTCGCTGTTGCTTGGACTTCGGTAGGAGCAGCGTTGGCGAGGACGGCACACAGCATGGAAGCGAGCAGGAGGGTGCGAGGGGAGCCGATGGGCAGACTAGGCCCGCTGCTGCTGGTGCGGATGATGGAGCGGCGGGAGGAGCTGTACTTCTCATTGCTGTAGGATGGTGACTGGCCATTGGAAATGCTCACAGTGGGCTCTTTGAGGTCCTTCATGTCTTTTGGGGTCGACACGGGAATGCCCGCCAGGGGACGTTGGAGATGAGAGATCGAGTCGTCCTCTGAGAAGGGAACGCCCTCCAGAATACCTCCCGTTCCATTATCATAGTGCGAGTGGGTGAGGGCACCATAGCCGTCCTGTCCCCGTTTATAGATTGTGTACCAGAAGTATTGGAAGACGAGGGTGACGTCGACAAAGACGTAGTACCCGGCCACAATCACCTGCCAGCCGGCTTGTCGGGTGAGCAAGGCGCCCAGGAGATTGCAGGCGTCGCCTAGACACCACTCGACCAAGAAGAAGAGTGACAGTCCTGATGTTGATTGGAGTTGGATGTTCTTGTAAATTTGCGGGAGCTGTGCGAATAGCCAGGAGATGATGCTAAGTGTTCCCAGGAGGGAGGATATCAAGGCTAACGAAGTAGGCACGCAGACGTGGAGGTAGGAGGATATGGCAGCGAGAAAAGGCGAGGTTGGTTCGCAGTGCTGGGGCAGCGTAGGTTGCAGGTATTGTATCAAAGGAGGAGGCATGGTTTGAGGTAGGATATGTGCTGTGTCTAAACCGATTCGACTGAGGTAAACGGTTTGTCTTTATGCTAGAGTGCTGAGGGTTGGGCAGCGGGTCTTGAGGGCTGTCTGAGAAGAGGGATTGATATGATAAGAGGCGTAGGCGTAGATAAGACGGAATAGGGCTGTAGTGCTGTAGTGGTGTGTAGTGGTGTAGTGGTTCTATCTATCGGGATAAGACAAAGGGTGGAGCCGGGGAAATGAGTGACAAAGATGGTTGTCTAAGAGGGGGAAGAGAGAGTGAGGATGAAAGAGAAGGAAGAAGAAGGGGAAGGGGAGAGGAAGAAGAGAGGAAGAAGGGGGGAAGAGTGGGAATGGGGAGTGGGAGGAATGCTGATGATAGTTACGAAAGAGGAAAAGACGAAGTGACTGGAGAAGGAAAGAGTCACACTCCCTCCCCGGGGACCTCCATTTGGGGATGGATCATGGGAGTCACGAGGCCCGTAGGATGAATAGTGGATGCCACTGATCACTGATAACTGAACCTGAATGAATCGATAACCTTTTCTTCCCCCTATCGCCTGGCCCTGATTGGGTTCTCGGAGAAGGGTCGGAACCACTCATCCACTGACTAACTGTGATTATTAGTTCACTACGGAGTACTTCCAGTTGTATGTGAGTTCTCATTTCATCCCCAGAGCAGCAGCTGACTGTCGATCCCAGCATCCGAGTCTGATAAGGATGATCCATGCCCTTCAACTTTATCCTTTATCCCGGCAAGGCAGCCAGCCCATGGGGATTCCCATGGATTGCGGGATCTCCACAAGATAACCATAACAGGGCGCTTTTCCAGTATGATGACATGGATTATCCCTTCATTGCCGCAAGACAAGATGGCCTCTGGCTTTCTTCAGCCCCACGTCATTCAGCCACTCATTCTCCGTTTGAGTTTGATCTCAGCTCTAACCACTGAGCGAAACAGATCATCCCGATAAGGCGTCCATACCAATCAATCATGGTGTTGTAACTGTTGTTTGACAGCGACAACGCAATCACTGACAGATGTCTCAAGACCCTGTTAGTTAGAAGCTTCCCTCCTGACGATCGACACCTTACTCAAATCCCTTTACTGTCTGTTTTCCACAGAATCGATAGTCCCGATCTCGACGTTGGACTTATCTTTGACAGATCTGGTCTTGAGATGAGGCTCCCCCAGATTCCGATCCAGCCACCGAACCAGGGTCCAAGTGGCGCTAAACTGCTGCAAGGCACCGGCCGCAACAATGGTGATATCCCACTCGGCAGTGTCGTCATTCTCCTTCAGCATCTGCCAGTGTTCCTTGATTGGACTTAAGAAATACAGATTGATGTGATGCTAAGATGCGTCCGTGCTAGTATCCTCCTGCATTGACACTATGGCACTATAAGGAGGTGAATAATGTATTCAGACTCAGGCCCCCCCCAGCGAGATGGTAGCACTGACACGGCAGGACATCACAGCACAACACCGCACCGCACCGCACCGCACCGTATCAGTGCACAGCTGTACACCTTGATGAGACAGAGAAGCTGACTTACTAACTGGCTTTGATAGATCCATAAAACCTTCTCTCCCACGCTACTTAGCGATAAGTGCTCAAGCCAGAGGCTTATCCCATAAACACCAGCAAGAACAACAATCAATCGCATCAACCATGAAAGGCCGTTCGTTCATAACCCAACGATTCCTCATCATCCACAAACATCCACAAACAAAGACTCAAAGCCCACTCCCGCCAGCACGCCCAACAACCAACCGGACCTCCTCCCAGGAATTAATCATTCCCATCCCCATCTCCTTCCCGACTACCGTACCCCTCCCCATCCCCCGAACCACTCCTCCTCGACGAACTCCGATGATGCCTATGCCGATGATGCCGATGGTGGTGATGGTGGTGATGATGCCCATGTCCATGCCCATGCCGGTGATGACTATGACCATGGCTATGGCTATGGCTACTACTCCGATGACTATAATGACTCCCCCGCTCATCGTCACTCCCACTATAATGACTGCCCCCCGCACCACCACCACCGTAGGCACTCCCCCCACCACCACCACCACCGTAAATACTTCCATCATGATCCTCCTTCCCCCTCGCCTCCTTCAATTTATTTTCCATCAAACTCCCCAGAATCGCCCCGCCCACCGCCCCAAGCAGCCCATGACTCTTCTTATGGCCCAGGTAGAACCCCGTCGTGCCGCCGAGGATGGCCCCGCCGAGGCCGCGGTCGGAGGATTCGGGGTTGTCGGCACCCTCGTGGTCGACTGGCTGGGGCTGGGCGAGGTCGTGCTGGGATTGGTTGCTACGAGCTTGATTAGCGACGCTCACAAAGGAATGATTAAAATCCGGCCGGGGAAGGGAGTTTGGCTGGGCTGATGGTGGGATCATCGGACGAGAGAAGTAGCGAACAAGAACAAGTCCCGTGGCGGGGACGCAGCCAGCAGCCAGCAGCCAGCAGCCAACAGCCAAAATGGGAGGCGAATCTCACTCACTAATATTCCGCGCTACTTCCCTGTCTTACTATCCCGTGCGGCGGAGGCGGACGGGGAGGCTCATATTGCGGACCCAGACGGTTGTGGTCGTAGTCGTAGTCGTAGTCGTAGTATCGCGGCGGGGGCTGTTGCTGTTGGTTTGGGGCCGGGGGAGCTCCTCCGCCAGCTTCGTCTGGATGAGAGCGGGGGATCTGGGTTACGTCGCATTGCGAGGGGTAGCCGTAGTGCTGCTGTTGCTGGTAGTTCGGGGGGTGCTGGTCATGGTAAGCGGAGGGGTAGTTGTAGTTGTAGTCATACTGCTGTTGCTGCTGCGCTGGTGGGGGTTGCGCGGAGGAGTATGGCTCGCCCATTTTGACGGACGTTTGGGGTCGGGATAGAGATTCGAAGGGTCAGGGCGGGAGTCAAACTGGCTGGTTTACAGGGTTTTATCTATCGTGCAGCAAAGCGACCATTGACTACGGCTTACGTTGGCTACAGTGGATGGGAGATGACATGGCCAGCTGACGGTGCCGCGCGACAGCCTTGCAGCCCTCACAAGATGCAGGGCACATTCCACCATCACTCGACGCATATCATATACCTCGATTCTTCCCAGTTACTGAGAGATCATGAATTTCTCTCATCCAAACACAATACGCAAATGCAGATGCAGATGAATGAAATGAATGAAATGAACATCTCTTCATAAAACTATTCAAAAATAAAAACGACAGGATCTGGTCTAGATTGCCTGAAGTTAGGGGGTATCCCAGCAGCCATGTAGAGTAGGCTGGAAAGAAAGAACAAAACATAAAATGGTCAGTCCCCACTTCATGAGACTGCACAAAACAGAATGCAAACAAAGGAAATCAGAACTATACGATCCTATAGACCCGAGCCGCTCCAGAGCCGCACTCCTCGTGCAATTACCAGAGCGGCGAACAGAACACCATAGGCCAACTGCTGCCATGCGTCCAGCACATGGCAAGTCCAGGGCCCCTGGGGTGGGTATAAAAGCGGGACCAGAAGTTCATCAACGATGGACAATCCACCTTTTACAACACGCATCAAGCCTGAGACCGCACATCCGCTCTACTTGCCGACTCCCGTACTCGGCGACCAACCCATTCAGCCAGCATGGAATCCAGCTGGCTGCTCATTTCTCGCAACCTCTTGCTCTCTTCCTTGAACAGGCAGCCAGTAATCGGGTGATCAGGACCAGCAGGCGGAATATTCGAGTTGTCATGGACGATCACGAACAAATCACGGATGTCGTTCTCTTCTTCCAAATAGGTTCGCAAGCTTGCGTCACTCCATGTAGGGGTAGGCGCAGATGCGTTGCTAAACGAGGAACGAGCATCAATGCCTCGACTGTCGCGATGACTCGTAACAGGAGACATGGGCGGGGAAACCGAGACAACAGAATGTCTTGCCGGGTTGGAGAAATCCATCCCTGGTCCGGACCCGAGAGGCGAAACCGGGGCCTCTTCGATCGAAGCACTGTCCGGAGAGTCGAATCCCTGGTTCTGATAATCCAACTGTCTGGGTTGGAATCTCTGCGGGGGCGATGCCACCGAACGCTGCGCGTAGGACACATTCTCGGACGCATCTTGCCAGTCGCCGTTCGATTCAACTGGTGACGTTATTTGATCCTGCGCTTCGGGCTGCACCAGTTTCTTCGCAGGGCTCGGTACCCGAGCGGAAGACATCATGACCTCCTGGCTGTCATCGAATGGCCCCAGCGGGGGTGATGAAGGGATGTCATCCGCTTCTTCCGACGTGACTTGTCGAATGGTCTGATCCGACTTGCTGCTCATCGCAGACTTGATGCTTCGGTCAATAGTAGCGGGCTCCTGTTCACGAGGGAAATCCTGCTTCGTTGGAGAGAGTGCCACCGGTGGTTGCTTCTGCAGCTTACTGGGCTGCTTCTGCACCACCATTTGCTTGGGGGATCGAGCTTCAGGAGAGACTGGGGAGGGTATCGAATCCAGGGAAGTTTTAGGCTGAGGTGAAGATCGGGAGAATTCGTTCGAGTTCTTCTCTGCTTCATCAGTATCCTCATCGTGGGACTTGGACTTCTTGTCCTTCCTCTTAAAGAGGCCGCTCAGCATTCCCGACTTCTTGTCTTTGCGCTTCTTATCCTCTTTGCTCTTATCTATCGCACTAAGGGTCTTGTCGATATTCTCCATGCTACCGCGGTTCTGATGCAGGTCAATAGACATTCGACGAGGTCGGAACAAGTGACTTACTTCAGTGGCATCGGTGGAGAGAGTACTACTGCCAATTTCATCTCGGAGCAGGTTGGGCGTCAGGGAAATCTTCTTGGTTTCCACGGTGTCGTCTCGGAAGAAGGAATCGGTATTGCGTACGGTGCCATTTCGCGACCGGCTCACACTGTTGTCGGCTACATTCTTCTTAGCCAAGGTCCCAGAAACCGGACTGAGACACTCACTTTCAGGCTCAAATAGCTCCTGGCTAGAGCGTTGCTTGATCGGGCTGTTGCTAGCGGGCTCTTCGGTGTCATCGATGCCGCCTTCTTCGGAGCCCTTGTCGCGTTGCGACTTGGTTCTCAATGGCTGGACAACGATGTCGTCCGTTTGGCCGTCATGTGCATCCTCTGCCTCTGCTCGCGAACTTTCGTCATCGTTGAAGGACGCTGCGTCATCTAAGTCTTCATCGCTGGAGTACTCGATGTCGGACGCCTCGATGTACGTCGGAGCGGTGAACTGGACGTTTTTTGTTGTTCTGCGACGCACCGCCCTCATAAGCGGGTTCTTCGATTTCTCTGAATTGTCTCCGAGCATGGTTGCCGAAAGCTACCACAGATAGTATCAGTAACTGGCCGAGATCTGGTGACGGTCACACTCACATCCACGTTGCGATGCTTGTTCAATCTGGCGAGTCTCTCGGTCGGAGTTTCAATGTGTTCGGCGGGCAGATAGCCTGCTTACGGTGAGCTTAGATATACCTATACCAGCAGGTGACCTACCAATGCTGCCGTCTTTGACAATCCGCACGAGCCACCAGTAGCTGTTGCTGTCATCCAGCAGCACCATGGTGTCACCCTTCGAGGCGTTCGCCTGTCCGTCGACGGTCGCGTAGAAGTTGTGCAGCGCATAGACGAATTCGAAGTCAATATCCTCTAGGTTTGGGTTAGATTGGACCGTGATTGGGGCCTCGAAGGGCAGAAAGTGCCCAAGAGCCGGAGATTTCTGCAGGGTGACATGGTGATGAACGCAGGAGGCCAGACATACCGTCGTCAATGGACGGAGAGCTCGAAATCTTATCCATCATATCGTCATCTAGCATGTCATCACTTTCGCCGTCGGCCAGATCGTCTTCTTCGTGTTCACCGGAGAGATCGCCGTGGTGATCTATATCCTCAATCTCCTCGTCGTCGTCATCATCGTCATCGTCGTAGATATCGATGCCGTCGGCGCGGTTGTCACCAGGTTGGCCGTCCTGGGCGCTGGGACCATGCATGATTTCAGCTTTGGTATCCTGATCGGCCTGGCGAAGCGCTTGTTCCTGGTGGGGGGCAATGCCCGATGCATTCATGGGCTGTCTGGAGTGATCCTTGGCGGAAGGGGCATGCTGGTCCTGTAGGTCCATGGTATCTGTCATCATACATTTGCTGATCAGCACGACGGCCACATGACTTCCACTCGTTCCACATACCAGCCCGGACAATCCGAGGCCTTGTCATTTTGACTATACTTCGCGCCTGCGAATTTACTGGTCGAGATGACAATTGGTTTGACGTTCCGGGGGCGAAAGAGCGACTTTTGGAATCATGAACATTGAAACCCGATGGCGAATGTAGATCGGCACGGCGCAGCGTCCCGGTGCGGCTCGAAAAGAAGGAGAGTCAAGAGCGGTCGGCGCAAAGAGTTGCAATAGCAAAGAGCGGAAGTAATTTTCCAGGGACGAAAGAACGAAGGCGACGGCCACGAGGAGCAACGGCGGGGGTGGATACTTCAAGTCCGACCAGGGGGGGGAGAGAAGGAGGAGGAGGAGGGAGGGGAATCCGTCGGGCAAACAAGACGAAAGGGAACGACTTCCAGAGCGGATTAAACAACACCAAAACAAAAACAAATTTTGGAAAAGAAGGGCAAACAGCAATAGCCAGAACGCCAATGTTATTGGGGAAAGAAGGGAAATTAGGTACCAGAAGAGGTGCCGGGTGGGTGAATGGAACAAATGTGAAGCCCAACGCAACGCAACGCAACGCAACGCAATGCAACGCAACGAGTTCCCCGGACTGATTTCAAGCATGCAAGAGAATAGGGGAGGAGGAGGGGAGGGAGGTTCCTCCCAAAACAAGCGCCCCTTGCGCGCGCTTACCCACAGCTGACTTGCCCGATAGACGGGCCCCGATCCCGTGCCTGGACCGCCCAGTAGGCCAAAGATGAACTTGACCAGATACAGATAACTTGAAGGTGACGGCAGGGCTTAGGGCCCAGGGTCAGGGCCCATATCTTCAGGTGATAAGTGAGTGATTCCAGTTGAAAAAGATCAAAAGATCCACTGGGCCTAATCTGAACTAATCCAACCTAGGAAACCTAAGAACAGCCCGGCGGGGCTGCGACCACCACTCACTACTACGCAGCGTGGCTGTGAATGGCTGATCCCTCCGTCACCTTACATTAGACTATCACTTAGTATGTGTTAGCTGACCAGTGTTGACCAGTTGACTGTCAGGCAATGGAATCTCCTCCGTCATCACCCGAAGATTCCCCCACTCACTTGCCTCTTTGGGACCCTTCTTCTCCCGATCTTTTCCCTACTCTGTACTCTACACCTTTTTTCCCTTTCTTCCTTTCTTCCCATTCATCATCATCATCATCGTCAATCAGTCAATGATTTGATGGGCCCTCCTTCCTGCTGCTGCAGAAGGATTGCTTTTTTTGGTCCGATCAGCTCACTCAGTGACGCTAAGCTGCACCTTGGTGCACTGAATCCCTCATTTCTGGGGGTGGTTCTTCCTTTCTTCGTTTCTTCTTTTGGAGCTTAGCTTCCCTCCTATCGGATCGGGACCCTCCGATAACTGCCTTTACTAAGTACTTCTTACTCTTCTTCTCCTCTTTTTGTCCCTCTGCGACTCCCACCCTCCACCACCACCACCACCACCTCTCGATCAGATCTCACCCCTCTCGACACTCACCTTCATATTCACCATCCACCATCCACCCTTCTCCTTTTCCTCTTTCATGCTTCTCACTCCCTCCCTCTCAAAAGTCTTCTACAACTTGATCTAGAGATAGACCTCTTTTCTCCACCTCGTCATTCCTCTCTTCTTTCCATAGACTTGCCGCTCTTCTGGCGGGTGGAAGGGCATGGCTCAGACGGGAAGACCAAACACACTGGCAGGGTTGAAGCTTGAGACGTCTTTCCAACATACACCTCGACCCCGATGGCGGGGTGAGGCTGAAGGCGGAGGAGCGACGGATGGCGATCGTACAAACATCTTTCACGATTATCACCCACCCCGTGGCGGTACTAATCAAGACAGCAGTGTTTTGAGTGGCTTACACTCGGCGACACCTCCTATCTCCGTCCCTCGTCATCATGATCTTCCCGATCCAGAAGATGTCAGCTATCCTCACAAACCCGAGGATGTGCAGGCCTCCCCGCTGGACAACTTTCTGCAGCAAGAACGCCGGCCCTCGATCAGCTTTGACCCCATCGTGGCCATGGACTCCGGTCGACGCCTGCCACTCGAAGAGCCTCTGGCCGGTCGGCCGCAAAAGTTCCAGTCGCGCAGCTCGAGCTTGAGGAACACTCTCCGCCAAGAGGACGGACCCGACGATCACGACCGCCAGTCGGACCTTAGCTCAAGTCCGGAAAGACAGCGACGCCAGCGGCCCATCCCAACCGGTTCTTCGCGGGGCAGCTTTCCGGAAGAAGAGGAAAACGCCGTGGCCTCGGAGATCGAACACCCGACCTCTCTCACCTCGAGATCAACCGCGTCCCCGATGACTGAAGAAATCCGAACTCCGTCGGAGGGTTCAAGGATACTGTCTTCGCCGGTTTACATGGCGTCGCCCGTACAGGGGTTTGCCTCGCTTGACGATCGCAGCTCTTGGTCGGGAAGTGCTGTGACTCCCTTTGGGAGCAAGGCAAGGGGCCTTCGTCTTTCTACTCGACAACGGTCGCGCAGATCTACCGCTTCCAGTGGCAAGTCTCCTGCCAGCATGTTCCTTTCCATGTGGAGCGCCGGTGGGGAGGAGTCCGCGCCGCAACCTGATGACGAAGGCCAGATGGTCGGGACGGATTATGTCCTTGGCAAACAGATCGGCTTCGGGGGATTCAGCACCGTGAAAGAAGCGTACAAGGTTGAAGAGGATGGCAAGACCAAACACCTCGCCGTCAAGATCGTCAAAAAACAGGTCTCGGGCAAGAGTGAGAAGGAGAATGACGAGGTCCAAGCAGAATTCGACCACGAAGTCCGAGTTTGGCGCTACCTCAGCCACCCCAACGTCCTGACCTTGGATGCTGTGTACGAGACTGATTTTGCTACGTTTTGTTTCACAAAGCTGGCGATCGGCGGCACTCTTTTCGACCTTGTCCGCCAAAATCGAGGTGGTCTGGACCTCAAGCTTGCCAAGAAGTACTCATATCAGCTTGCCTGTGCACTTCGATACTTGCATGAGGACGCTCGGGTTGTGCATCGAGATATCAAACTGGAGAACTGCCTGCTGGATCCCACCGAATCGCCCGATGGATCCGAGGTCTCAACCCTAGTGCTCTGCGATTTTGGCATGGCGGAGTGGATGCATACGGACAACGACGGCTCGTCGCCTGATCCCTACGATAATGTGGCGGATCGACCGCCTCCGAAGAATATCGGGCCGGCTGGATCCAGCACCAGCGTTGCGGGAAGTCTGGAGTACGCATCCCCGGAGCTGCTCCTCTCAACCAACGGAGTCATCCATCCTTCGGTCGATCTCTGGGCGTTTGGAGTCATCGTCTACACCATGATCGTTGGCTCCCGGCCGTTTCAAGATCCGTTCGCGCCGCGCATCCAGAACAACATTCTCAATGGGCACTGGAACCATCACGCCGTCCTTGGCGATGAAGAAGCGGATGCTCCCACTCGGCAGGAGCGGGAAGATGCGCTCGAGGTGGTTACAGGATGTTTGCAGATGGATCCGGCCAAACGCTGGACCATCCGTGATGTACTTTGCTCGCGGTGGATGCGAGAGTTCTCTCAGAACGCCGACGGCAGCCCCACCGAGTCCATTTGGAAACTTTGAGGAAGAATGGGCTGCAGTGAAGCCTTGATGGCCCTATACTTATGACCTTTAGATGACTACGGGCTAGCGCGCGCGCATTGCGCCTGGTTCTTTATCCATGATACCCTCTTTTATGTTCACAGCGGGTTTATGATATATTCAGTATTTGACTTTTGAGCGCGTCTTTCGGTATACCTTTTGTTTTGTGAGAAATGAAGGCTTGGGAGCATACACAATTTGCAAGGCAATTGCATGGCGTTTTTTGGGGGGTATTTTCCTTGGGGTGTATTGATATCCAGGTGGCTTTTCTGTTGCGGTTGTTGCGAACGACCGGCTTCCACTGTGACGGTGACCTTGCTAATGAGGGGAGATTGAGCACGGGAAGTTTGTCAAGATATCGAGAATGCTCCACTATACGAATGTTAATGACTTCACTATCTTTTTGAAGCTGTACGCTGCTAGGCGTAGCTACTGGAATCGCGCATAAGATCAACATACATAGCTGGTTTCTTCGGACTGGATCTAGGTGGAATCAGTTATAAGTTATGCTGGCTGCTCTGAGTGCTTCTGCCAGTATTTCTATAGCCTGTAGCCGGAATAGAGGATCGATAGCAAATGACGGTTCAGTTTGAGGTGGACATCTGCATACCTGCCGACCTGGACTTGGCAATCAACTCACCCACTTACTTGACTGAGGTTTAGGGATTTTTACCAAGTGCAACCACACTACGCCATCCACGGTAATACACGAGGAAGCGAAAGAAAAAAAAAGAAAATGCATATCCACGATAACCATACAACAAAAACATATTTATACAAATACAAGAGAGAACAGCCAAAGGTCTTTCAAAAGTCCAAACAACCCTTCACACACACACACACACACACACACACCTTACAGAAACCGCACACACTCTCTACTCCATCCCAGCGAGCCCCAACCCCCAACTATACCCGAACCTCCCGTTCTTCCCCAGAACAATCAACCCGGACCCAAGACAACCTACCACAACCGATTCTCGGGCAGGACCTTCTCCTTGTGCGCGCCGGCGGCGGTCTTGCGCTCGACGGGCGACCGGAAGAACAAACTGGGGCCCTCCATGGGCTTGAGCAGGTGGCTCAGGTAGCCGCGGTGGGCGGGGTCACGGTAGTACTCGATGTCGCGGCGCTTGGTGGGGTCGGGCAGGCGGTAGGTGAAGCCCATGGCGCGCATGATCTCGCTCTCGACGAGCTGGCCGGCGGCGTCGCTGTCGAGGCCCTCGGCGGCGAGGAGGCCGGCGGGGGCGCTGCGCGCCGTCCACGCCGTCGACACGAACGGGTGCATCTCGCGCTTCAGGATGCGGCGGATCGCGCGCGGCGTGTAGAAGCGCGTGGTCACGGTGCCGCCGGCGGCTTCGACGGCGGCGATGGCGGCGGCCGAGGCGCGCGAGACCACGATGTGGATGGGTTGTTTGAGGACGTTGATGGTGGTGTCTTCGGATGTAGAGGGGGATTCGGGGGTGGTGGTGGTGGATTCGGGGGAGGTGGTGGTGGTGCTGCTGCTGCTGCTGCTAGGGGCGATGACGGCGCCCTTCTCGTCCTTCAGGACGCCGCGGCCCAGGAGCTTCACGCCCTCCTTGGTCTGGTGGATGCAGCGCGAATCGAAAAGCTCGCGGATGGTGATCGGGCGGGCCGGGTCGATGCGGCCTTGGTCGATCCAGTCTTGGATGCGGTTGAGGTTGATGGGGGCTAGCTCGATGGCGTGGCTGGGAGAGGTTAGTGGTGTATATCATAGAGAATGAGGTTGGAGTGGGTATTGGGGACATTGGGATATCCAGGGACAGTTTGGGAGTCAGTTGCGTGAGGATTGATTGCGAATGGGAAGCTCTTCCACGATTATTCTTTGCAATCTGAAAGCGCTTCGGCAATTCGACCTCACTATCGACGAATCCTCAAACAAGCACACCCCAATTCCAAAACAGATCCCAATGACGCAGGATTACAATCCCACGACCTCCCACCTCGTTCCCCAATTCAAAGGTAAGAGTGCAAACATACATATTGTTATATCCGCGCTCCCCGTGCACAACAATGTCCGGCGTCTGTCCACCATTGAACCCCGCGGGCACCTTGCCGTGCTGCTTCTGACCCTTGTGACCGCGACCGGAGGTCTTACCCTTGCCGGAAGCCGGACCGCGACCGCGACGGATGCGTTTGTTGTAGGCCCCCGCGTTGTCGGAGAGCGAGGCCAGGATGTGTGCGTTGCGGGATTGTTGGAAGCCGGCCAGCAGGAAGGCCAGAGGGTTGGCGGTGGTGCTGGCGGCGGCGGCCGTAGTGATGGGCGTCGCGGACGTGAGCGCCCGGAAGGGGAGGAGCTGAAGCCGGGGAGGCATGGCGGGGCCGACTTCAATTGTGGTGTTGAGGGAGTGTGGAGAGTGAGGTGAAGTGGTTGAGTTTGGAGGTTTGTCGCCGCGGAAGTCGAAGTCCACGGAGAGACAGGATCTTTCCGTTGGGATGGGAAGTTTTTGGCGGCCTGAGGCAGAAAGCCCAAGGTGTCGGAGGAATCTCGGCCCGGGATGGCTGTTCTCGTGCGGTGATTGGCTCTTTTCGGGAGTACATCTCTATCGTACTGTGGAATTTGTAGGTCGTGAAGTTTCAATGCTATGGCTTTCAAATTACCAGGCAAGTGCACTGTGTACTCCATATCCTCATTCCAACTTACTATAGATCAATTCTTACGCCGGTCGTCGGTCATCACCATTCTACTCCGATCCCCATAGGTCATCACTCGACTTGCCGTCTCAATCACAACCAGAAGCCAGTACGCCGAGACATAGTAAACTTCTTCTGTAGACTAAGCTAGACAAGTGACCTGTGTTCTCTCGGAAATACCAAGCAGTTCAAGCTTCCTTTTATTTATGGCCTTTAAGCTTTGCGCTCATCTCTGGGCCCCTTTATTCTGGGTCCTAGGCTTACCTGGACAAGCCTCCTCGCATTTCGGTATCCATGTCGATTGTTTGGCGTTGTACGAGTTCAATAAGGCAGATATAGATATAGTGCACCACTAATAGGTCTGATATGCTTCGTCTATTGAGAGTAATGAATCAAGCTGCGTTGACCTTGATCCTATACATAAAGAACGCCCATCATTCATCTCCCACTTCCTTCAGAAGTGTTCCTCTTGCTCACCAGCTCAGCTTCACCACCACGTTAGGGCTACATCAGGTATATATACATCAACTGTATCTCGGTGCTGTTTTCTTCCTTACTACTCATCCAGGAGAACTGACTCACCAAGTCAAGGGCATAAGGGTAAACTGAAGTAACGCCGGCCCGGAGGACGGACAAGCTATTACTAACTACAACACCGAAACCCAGCGTTCGCGATATGACCTCGAGAACGTATGGTGCAGAGGAGTGCCATCAATCGATGTTCGAGCACAGCATACAAGGAAGCCCACTCCGTACTCCGTATGATGATCTTTCCATCCGGCATCTCCTACCTCAAGGTCTGGAATCGGTCTCTTGACCAACGGGCTTCTGGTTGGAGAGCACAAAAAGCTGCTCGCTCCGCTCATCACCTTGACCAGCTACCAGCTATATATAGTCCTATAAATAACCAGCCCATAACCCTAGTGACAGTCACGACCAGCTCGGCGGTACTGTAACAGGAGTATTCTGGAGTCGAGCAGATGACTGCAGCTGAGCGAGTTGCAGGTTCTGGATTGCTTCTCAATGCAGGCCAGGTCGACCTTACGTGGACTGGACTGAACAGTATTCGGTACAGTACCTAAAGTGGTCAGCCAGCGCTCACCTCTTCCGGCCGATTTTCTTGTTCTTTGCTTTTTCCTCGTTTGTGACATCTCTTTTTTCAATGGTTGCATGTGCAGGGCGTGAGCAACAGCAACAACAACAACCAGCAGTCTTCCCTGTAAGGCGAGAGGATGGCTACAGTACTTGCCTGCTTCCGTATTGTACTAATGACTGATCCATTGAATGAGAGGTAGCAGCAGCAGCAAGCCTGAAGCTCCGCGGATGCATCGTTATGTATAGTACTTCAGTCGCGGCCGCATATACGACTTCCACTTCGAGGTAAAGATGTAGATCGCCAGGCCGCGAGCTTCGGGAAGTGGTCAGTCGGATTGGATTGCTTCCCTTGTTCGAATCAGAACCAGTATTCAGTCAACTTTTGAGAAGAGTACGGTATGGAGTATACGGAGACAGATTCTGTTCTTTTCATCCAGAAGATGGGCGGCAGCCTGATGGTGTCGGGTTCGCACAGTTACGGGGATGACGACAATCCATTCCAACCTTGACGCGCGGTAAGCAAGCAAGCAAGCCCGCGAAAGCAAAAGCAAAGGGTATGTATGGTTCAGGGATCAGGCTGCGATGAGACGATTTTGGATATCATGGTTCCGGGTTGTGGTCTGATGGTGAGACATGATCTGTGTGAAGTTGTTTAGTTAATGGCTGACTTATTTTATGTAAAGTCAATGTCAACCCAGTCAATCTTGGGGCCTGGGCGAGATGAGCGTGTTTGTGGCCTCTCGGTTTCCTGTGCCATTGATCATTGCGTGTTGATACATCCATCGGTCTGCTGGATGCCACAGGAAAAGGAGGGGGTCAAAGTGGCAGTTGTACCTGTCCTTGTACCTGTCCTTGTACCTGTCCTTGTACCTGTAACTGTACTTGTGCAGGGCGCACCGCACCCACCAGCGAACGGCTTATCATCTAAGGATTTCCACGAATCTGGACCTACGGTGGGGATAGGAGGAAGGACAAATCGGAACCTCAGTGCCAGCAGTCGGTTGAACATATTCGTTCAATCCCTGTTTGTTGCTGCCCCATCTGCCGCGCAGTGAGTTGGGTGAACCTGGATAAGTTATCGGTGGTCGGATTGTCACCCAGAAGAAGATCCAGAAAAATCGAAAACAGTAGAGATCGAAAATGTAGAAGAATTGAAGTAGGCAAGAAAGAAGAAAGAACTTAGCCAGCCTCGACTGGACGGAAGTCGAAGCCTGGGCCTTGCACTCGGTTGGATGCAATACTTGGATGATTTCTAGATGTTTAGGTCTTGCTCATGCATTGTTCATTCGACTTGTGAATTGACAATGCTCGGAATTACCTGAATCATAAGTCCCGCATACTTAGTCTTAGAGTTGGGGGTTGATATGTTTGCCGAATCGACTCTGGAATTGCATGTTATCTTGCCCAGTGAACGGAGAGATATATACATGTGGGACGGATGGCATCGGAACTCGCCCTTTTCCACCACCCTATCGATAATTGCCTATCCCCTGAGACATTACTGAAGCTCTTGCTGATCTACTTACCCATTGCCCTCATTCACCATCCTTGAGAGATGTCGGCCGCAACCCCAGAACCACCAGAATGAATCAGTGTCAAATTTCAAACCAAACCACCAGAAAATCAATGCCCTTGTTCCCATTCCCCTTGACTCACAATCACCGCCACCCCCGACCACAAATCCGAGCCTGATGTTGTGGTCCCTGCTTCGTTGAATGCCCGTTGTTATGGAAGCCGCTGTGCTGTATGCTAGCCCATCCATCAACAAACACCACTACCACTGAAATGTTTTAAACCCTCGAACCGATGATCTTCGACATTCCCTTGCTTCGAATGGCCCCATACACCGTCTCCGGGACCCCCCTCGAGGGTAGTCCCACGAGGGGTTTAGCTGCTGTTCTGTATCCCTATCCCCTCGAGCGTAGGGAGGACAAGGGAGGTGGACAGTAAGTACGGATGGATAGATCCGGCTAAGCCTGACGGAGTTCTCCGTGCACTTGTGGTCTACCCCAGGTTTCGCAACAAACAACTTGGCCTCGCACTCACACAACGAGTTGTGTCTGTATAATTCTGTGCTGTGCTGTGCTGAGTGTTACTGCAATGTTATGTTGATCGACAACACGGTGTGAGTATGTGTATACTCTTTCACCGACACTGACTAGGAATCAGAATGAGACAAAAAAAACGACCAGTTAATTCTAGTGTGGTGTTGCAAAAAGAAGGTCATCCTTCCCCGCGCCGCCACAAGAATGGAAAGATGTTTTGTTTACTTCCGCCTCTCCCCCTCCCCTCCCCTCAAAAGACAGACCGATATCCAAAGATCTACAATCTTCATCTCAAGCAAGTAATACAGTCTCCAACCCGCAAGGATGTCAGACCCGGATCACCGAATGCAAGGGAATCTGACACTGACCACCAAATCGCAGTAATGAGTAATGAGTAAAGATGCCCGCAAATCCTGCAGTAGCAAGCAAGTGAGGTTTTCGCACATACACATCTACACATAAGTTGATCCTCGGTCTTATCTGTTTCTTGTCCTTGCGTGTAGTGTAGCGGACGGTAGTTACAACTTTCTCTCCGCCCTTCGCCTTCCCTTCAACAGATCACTCCCCATCACACGAGTCCAACGATGCAAAGCGATCATCAATCACGTTAAACGTGGAAGTTAGAAAGAGCCTCCCGAATCGAATCGACAAAGAAACTAGGGGCGCCTCCAAAAGAAGCAACAACAACAACACCAAACCCCCACGGGCTATGCGCCCTCCGTCCTCATACTAATGCTAGGACGCTAGGGGAGAGAAACACAACACCTCTTTCCCCTATCTAATTCTCTCTCACAAGGTTCTCATGCGAATCCATCTTGATGGGCAAGAAAGAGCCAGTCAGTCAGTCAGTCAGTCAAGCGAAGGTCCAAGTCGCGCAGGGTGGGTGCCCTTTCCCCCTGCCTTGCCTTGCCTTGCCTTGCCTTGCCGACCGGACTCGATGGATAGATACTCATATTCATACTCATACCCATACTCATACATCGATGTGTTCAAAGTTTCTTACAATGACAAGAGTCATGTTGCACGAGCACGAGCAAGAGGGGAAGCGAACAACACCGTAACCCCACAGCATCGTCGTCTTTAAGGGTTGAGGTTGAGGGGAGGGGGGGTTTGACCGCTGCTTTGCGCGTCGATCTTGCTCTGCCCCGAAAGAAGCGACAAAAAAAACAAAAGAGCAGCGAACGCACTGGCAAGAGAGGGGGCGAGTCCAATGTACATACAGTAAAATGAGTGTGAAATGTAAGAATATCATCTGTCGCACCCAATCCTTCGGCACCGCAAGAAAGGGGAGGAGGGGGGGGGGGGGCCGCCTCTCACAATATGAGATAGTCACATCGGGCGGGTAAGTTAGTCGTCGTGTAAGGCGAGTGATACTTCCCACGAGACACAGAAGCAATCGCATATGCTGGCGGATGGCCCAGTAAACAGTAAACCAGTAAACCACCATCTCGAGGTCCAGTATTTGCTAGGCTGCACTTTTCGTGGACTGGACTGGACTGGACTGGATTGTACTGGGCAAGGATTGCTGGCTAACATTGCCAACGAACGAACTAACTAGCCGCTGGAAAAGCTGACCTCCTCATCGTCTGGCGACGCTGTCCAGATTGCTTTGCTCCGTGCGGAAGGGTACTCGCCAGTCCACCTTTATTTATTCGGTTGATACTTAGTATATCTAAGTATACTTAGTACGCCGGAACTGGGACTCTTCCAAGGCGGTCCAGGATTTCAAGATGGGAGGAACAGGGAAGTGGGATTAGTATGCAAGTGCCTGCGGTCGGTAAGATCCAGAATCTCCGTAGTAGATTCGAGATTCGAAACTTGGACCGAGGTCATGTGATAACAACTTTTGTCGCTCAAAAGCAGCACCACCTACTCACTCAATACAAGGGTAAATATGGAATACTCGTTAGACTCGTCATTCGATCGGGCCTTAGAGCGAGGTAGGTAGTGACGGTCAGCCTTCGCTCATTTGCCAATGGATACACAATACCGAGGTATGTGTAGTAGTATACCGGTAGCTGAGCCCGCCACGAGCACAAGAACCGGTAGCGTAGCTTGGGTGCAACGAATACTTGTTCAACTGAAACCTTCTCCGATCCTCCACTCACGAAAGTAAATTGTTGATCAACTCTGACCTAAGCCGACGGTGAGGATAATTTACATAGTATGAACAAACAATGAGCAAAAAAAAAAAAGGCAAAGCCAAATTACTGGGCGGTGACGAAGCAGAACAACAACACTCTCCAGCTTTTCCGGACGGGCCACGGTGCCGCAACCGGAGATGAGAATGGCTTTGGTGTGGCAAGCACCGCCTCCAATCATGGAGCTAGGTGCAACTTACTCATAACTAACTTACAGGCTGCAACCGCTAAGAGTACTTCGTAAGGTAGTCTAGATGAGATTCGAGTAAAAGGATCGATGATGCCCGCGCTGGTGGTTCTCTTCACGTTCCTACGCGGAAAAACACGGATAGTATGGGTAAAAGCCAAGGTGTATGTAGTACGTACTTGGCCCCCCCAAATTAAACCGCATTTCCAACCTCGGGGCGCAATATCTAGTTATTCTGCTAGACGAAAACAGCTGGGGAACGAACCTGATCCGGGCTATTCTTGCTCTTCTTATTGACCAGGTTTGGGTTGATTTTCCATGGTTGAAGCTGGATCCAATGAGGTTGGTCACAGCATTTTGACCGTGAGATCTGGCGAAGCAGCATGTTCGAATCAGAAGGTTAGGTCGGGATGCTCGGAAGAAAGAAGCATCAACAGAGACAGAACAATCAAAAAGGTGTGAAAGGTCAACAGGAGAGAAAGAGGGAAGAGAGCACAAAGCCGAAAAGCTTGTGGCAGAGTCGTTGGTAGGCAACACCGAGCAGCAGCGAAAGGAACAGTCCAAGATCCATCCAGTGTTCAGATACCGCTGCAGGTAAGTTAATCACCGGACAGGAAGTTAGTAGAGGTCGACGGATTGACCACCAACCGCATGCTTCGACTTAAAGTGGGTAGGAGCATCATCTGGAGTCTTGACGCCTTGGAGGTTGGGAGTCGAACCCAAACAGCGTCTTGCGATCGTCGCATACAGTATAATACCATCTCACCTCGACCAGTGGTCTGCTGCTATACGGAGTGAATCGGTGTCAATTAGCGAATGTTGCCTGTGAGTGAGTGTGCCCGCTGCTGCTGCGCCCGAGTGACCAAACCAGTCGACGACCCAAGGATGCGCCCCAGCCCCAGTGTTGGAATGCTAGGCAGAAGAAGATGGACGAAGGCGTGGTGACACTCCAAAACGAAGTCATCGGCATCACCATTCAGCTTGAAGTGGATTGACTAGTACAGAGATAGTCAGACGTGATGATGATGGCGATGGTGATGGTGATGGTGATGGTGATGGGTGATGGTATCATGGTAGTCAGTTATAGTTTACTCCGGCAGATGGGGATAGCATCGTGGCTATTTCTGCTGCCTCCGTATGTGCCGGAAGGAAAGTGGCACACACGCTCGCTCCACTTCAACAGTCGGATGTTCTGGAACAACCGCCGCCGCCGCTGCTGTTGCTGCTGCGTGTTACGCTGTCAGGTACTGTAATAGTCAGGTATCTCAGGCTGTTGATCGCGGGAGCAGGAGCTGGGGCAGCCTTCAAGGTTGAGCAACATAACACCCTGATTTGTTTGGAGTTGGTCGAAGGCAGTCCCCATTCAGTCCACGAACCTCGAATTACTGGCTGTAGCACCAATGAGAAAAGGGTTAGACACGTTTATCCCGAATGCAAGTGCCAAGGTTCAGGTTCTGAGTCCTGACTTCTGTGAATCGAACTTGAATGGATGGTATTTTTTGTTACCGGGATTGAGAATACCGTACGCGTCCAACGACCGACCGGCAGCTGTTGTCCCAATTAAGATTAGTTGAAAGGAAACTGGAACTGGAACCTACCGTAATAACTACCAGTAATGCTACACTTGCTTAGTCGGTGTGGGCCATGTCGGCCTCAGGAATGAATCAATGAATCAATGAATAATAATGAATGGGGACCTTCAGGTGGCGTCTAATCATCCCCACGACGGTCGCCGTCTCTTCATCAAAAAAAATTCCCTAAAAAAATTGAAACGAAAAGAGAAGAAAAGAAAAGAAAAAGGAAAAGAAAAAGAAATTCGATCCAATCTTTCGCCAAACCATCATCTGATTATCATTGCCAATCCCTCGACTCACAATCAGCCGATCTCCAGATGATGATGAGATGATGCTATGGTTTTGGACCAGTCACCGCAGGTACCTTTTTATTTTTTTTTAATTATGTTTTTGGTTTCCAATGCTTTGCCATCTTCTTTATTTTGCAGGTACGAACCAGTAGATACGAGGCAACCGAAGTCGCGCGTTCACCTCCCGGTCGGTCGGCTTTGCTGGTGGTTCAATGCGCATCGCATAGTTACCTTCGTTTTAGGTGGATGGATGCAATATAATCTGGTACAGAGGTAGCCACAGCTGAAGTGGACAAAGTCCCGAGCGTCGATGACACAAACAAAGAGATCCATCGCATTTTGATCTCTTGCCCAACCGAGAGAATGTGAAAGAGTTATAGTTATAATACCCGGGGCCTATGCATTCATGGGTTCGACCGTCCGTCGCTCGCTTGCTCGCTCCCTGATCAGTCAGTAATTTCGGGAAAAGCAAAAGGGAGAAAGCGAGAGCAAAGGATCCTGGCTGTTAGGCCCACCAACAGGGGAAGGGGAAAGAGATACGGTACGAAGTCGGTAGTTAGTAGGTGGTTAGGTAGTTTAATAGACGGAAAGCGGAAGGGCAGTCTCGTTCTGACTTGCAGGGCTGCAAGTATAGATAGGTAGAAAAACAGAGAGAGAGGCAGCAGCAAAGAATCGGTCGGTCAGTCAGGCATGATGTTAGTACTAGCAGGGTATGCCGGTCACATTGCCTAATCATCCAAGCTGAAGGGCGCTGAATGTGGGAGAGACCTCCTCTACCTCGCTCTCCGTCTTCCCCGTCCATCGATTGATTGATTGATCGATTGTCAAAGGGGCGACGAGGGGGAGAGAGAGGTTGGTTGGTTGCTTGGATGGCGGACAGCAAGAGCAACCACACTGACGGTCATCTCCCCAGTAGTGAGATGGCCGGCCGAATGAGATGTCGGATTGTGGAATGGATTCAAATGCGATCTTCCACTCTTCCCCCCAATTTTGGAACTTTGTACATTGATTGCATTGATTGCACTTGCACTGTCATAACGCCATGCTTGAACTATCAGACTAGATCTGTAGTCGAAACCCCAGCTCATCAGTCGCCGCAGTCACTTCCCCTCCTCCTTCTCTTCCCCTCCTGAACACTAGAGACTAGAGCCCTATTTCCAACCGACTATGGACAGGGAAGGAAGTCCAACCGGCCTGGTGGTGTTCGACTGCACATCGTTGACTGCCTACTGTATTGTACTAACCAACTGTACTAACTCAATCACACATCCACCACCCCTTAAGTTTGAAAACGATCGTTACGCTAGTTGTGCCAGCAGAAGTCTCATCATCGCTAGATGACCCGAAACTTGCCGGGGCTGAAGTTAGGATAAGGAAAGCCTCCGACCGTACTTTAACCTTTCTCTGTCGCGGACTATATTGGGGTAATGGGACTCGAGACGTTGAGTTAACTACTAACCTACGCAGTAGTTAGTGGTGGTAGGGGATCCGGTTGACGATCAGACCCTCTCCTCCGACCAAGTCAGCAACTTAGTTACTACCTCGCAGACACCGATAGACAAGATAGACGACCGGTGTTTCCGAAGGCAGGTATCAATTCTTGCTCGAGACGCGTCCGGAAAATGGATCTCGATGAGACATGAAAAGCTAAAAAGACCTCTCCGCAGCAGCCCGTCAAGGACTCTCCGCTCCGGAACGAAGTAGATGAAATCATAAAGCATCACAGCGTCGGAATTATCCATCCCCCCCCCAAAGTCTACTGAGAACGCGCGCCGATTTTGGACCCGTTTTGAGATAGTCAGCGTCGTGAAATTATGGCGTGGTTGGTGCTTTCTTTTTGCAACCGCATACTAAGGTAGTTATGTAGTAACCACTGTGTCGGCGGGTCTGGATGACCACCAACAACACATGTGTCATGACCGATCATCATCTTTGGATTACTGCTGGGCCGATCGATGCGGAAGGCGGAGGGAAACGCTGTTGTACCAGAAAGGTGGGTGTTATGATCCATCTATCCATCTTCATTCGATGAATGATGATGGGGTCAGGAAGGGAGGGTGATGGGCGGCACACAATTGATCTTCGGCATTCGTCACCCTGTTTGTCTGTTGTAATCTATTGAACTATTGACTGTACTCCGTACCACGGGGTGAAAGGAGGGAGGGGAAAGGAAAGAGAGAAACTGCGACGCGTCCTATGTTACGAGGTCAGTCAGATCTCTCGCTTCTCTTCTTTTCTCTTTCACGGGTCGCGCGCCAGAATCCAGTAAAGTACTTTCCGACCGTGTTGGATCTAGCGTGGTTTCTTTTACTCGCATCAAATGCGAGGTAGGGGGAGAGGGAGAGGGAGTGGGTGGTGCCAGTTGATGACTTACTTACTACTTGAGTACCTAGGTAGGTAGGGAATGTGTC